GCCCCCTGTCACACACAGAGCCGCAGGGCGATCAGGGGGTTTGGGCGCTGCCCCCTGTCACGCTGATCCCGGTGCCAGGAGGCCTCGCGGCTCCGCTGATCCTGCCCGGCAGGGTCACAGATCCGGGTCCCAGACCGCAGACAGCCTTGCCTGCTGCCGCCTGCCTTCAGTATGCAAATTAGCCGCCATCTTGTTGCTTCAGGGTGGGGGTCCCCACTGGGGTGCCTGGCCAGTCTGGGTGAGGGGCTGAGGGCCGTTTTCAGGCTGGCGGGCGACTGAAGCTCCAAACCTCTCCTTTTTTTCTTTTTTTTTTTATTCTGGCATTTATTTACCTTCTATGGCTGTCACTGGAGCTGAGAGCCGGCTTTCTCTCTGAGGCTCGGCTGCTGAAAGCAGGTTTCTGGCCTTTGTTTTCTGTATTCGAAACAATGTTGCGACTCCAGCTCTGAGATCCTGGCTGACTGACAGGAGGTTTCTGGGGTTTTGTTTATCTTCTATAAATGTTACAATGTTTCCAACTGAAGCTCAGAGGCCGGCAAGGCAGGCGGGGAACGTTGGAGTCCTCCTTCACTGCAGGAAGCAAGCCTCCCTGTTCGCATCAGCTGCCTGGCTGCCGGCCGCCATCTTGGCTGACAGTTAATTTGCATATCTCCCTGATTAGCCAATGGGAAGGGTAGCGGTCGTACGCCAATTACCATGTTTCTCTTTTATTAGTGTAGATTAGGTAATCTGGAGACCAGATGGGTTGAGCCCCCAAATGGTGCCAGCACCCAGGAATGGGGAGTCAGAGGTTTTAAAGGACTCTAGGCAGGCTTATTCGGTGAGGAACTCTCTGGGCAGGACCAGATCCTGAGAAAGTCTGGAGGGGAAAGATAATGGTCTTAGCAAGTAAAGTGTGATCTAATTGAAAGGGAATGTTGGTTGTGAAGTGGTCTAAAGGTCAGTTCCAGGGGTTATTGCATAGACACAGCTATCAAATGCAGGAGGGTGGAGGGTATGACCTTCCCCCCTGCACAGTCTCCTCCAAGCATCACCTCATCCCCTCCAGGCTGAAGGCTGCCTGCCCAGCATAGTGTGTACGAGAAATTTTTTAAAAAGAAAATGCCCTTTAATGTATTTAGCAGGATAACTTCTTGATAGGTTATAGTGTAATAGAACTTTTATTAAGTAGTAAGCATCTCACTGTCATATTAACTTGAAGAAGTCTTTGCCAGAAAATAATTAATAATAATAATAATAGCATATAGGGATTTTTTTTTCCAGAATGTGTATCCTTTACCAACACCAAAGGTAAGCCGCGTTTCTATAGCTTTCTGAGCATATGCAGAGTGAGCTGCCAGTTCTCCTTGACTCAGTGGCCATGGCCCAGGCAGCTAGTACATTCCATGCCCCAGCTCAGTAAGTGCTAGGGCTTTGGCCCTCACCTCCATCAGGCCCAGACCCCACCTTCCCCACCAGAGGCTGCTGATAGCAACAACCACCCTGCTCAGCCACTATGGCTGGTCCACAGCCAAGTTGGCTGAAACTTCACAGCACCACACTCAACATGGCTGACAAGGACCTTTGTTTCCAGTACATACAATCATCAAAATAGCATTGCATTTCCCCCCAGAGAAATGCAATTTTGCCTCCATGTCAAGTAGTTTGATGTGTGGTAATCAGAGGGAGACACAAATTTTAAACTTGAGCTTTATGTTGTGACTAACATTAATTTAAATACCCTGCATCAAAGAACTGGGCTGTTCTTCCAAACTGCTTTAAAACCCACCACAATTTTTCGTTGTTTCAGAAACCCACAGTACAATCTGTAATGCATTACAAATTCTGAACAGAGAATCTTATCTATATTTTCTTGTGCATTCCAAAATACTGATCAGAGACAGTGCCCACATTCCAAGACTAGTGCCACAAGTCTGCTGCAAGTTGAGGGAGAAAAGATTGGAAGTAACAGATGTTTGGGTTGCTTAGTCTTATTATATTCAAGACTTCATCAACAATGCAAAGTTTTCAATTAGAAATGTACTATAGTTCTATTGTTCCCTATGGAAATTTCTAACTAAAACCAGAGTCTAAGAATTCATTTTCAAACAGAAATTCTAACTGTAGTTTTGAGAACTATATATATATATATATCTTCTTAGAAGGGAAGAAAATTCAGTCTGATGAGCCCGCCTCCAGCCAGCACCACAGCGGGAGCAGGATTCAATGGGTGCTAAGTGTTCTCCCGCTGCTCTTGCAGACTTGGTGACTCCTTGGGGTGTGCTCCCCAGACTCCTGCTGTCCAAAAGGGAAGCCACAGGGGATACTCACAGCCTCACTACAGGGAGAATGTTTTGTGGGTCTGGTCCCACCACGCTTGGGCTAGCTCCACATGAGATTTCCTCACTCGCTTCAAAGACACAAGAGCTTCTGAAGCCCCTCCAGCAGGCACGCCTACATCAACTCTGCCAACCACACTGCTCAGCTCCTGCTAGGTTTTGCATGCCAGGAAAGAAGGTTATTAGTTCCCTCCTGGACTCAAAGGGAAGAGTGAGCAGAGTCCGTTGTTTGCGCTCAAAATCTGCATTCCTAGAGGCTGTTGGTTCACATATTAGCCAACTTCAGAGGGACAGCAACACAGCTTACATTACACAGGATTTCAGAAGAGCTCAGATCCAGGGCTTTTTTTGGCTGAGGATGGACCAACAAATGAAAATGGTAAAGGAAAGCCAGTTTTATTTGAATGTAAACGTATAGAAGGAAGTCAATATATTTTTGTCTTTGTGTTGTTATTATTCCTAAAAGTCTTTTAGCCTTTATCCTAACTTTTCCATGAAACCACTCCTAATTAGTCTATATATACATAGTTATCTCTCCATTCTCTGGACTCTTAAAAATACATATAGTATCTGCTGACAAGTAAGCACTTTATTATATGCCACCTGTGTTAGTCTCTGTATTATATTTTTAATACTGACTTCCCAAATTGATTTTGAATGTCTCAAGGGCAGACAGAATGTCTTACAACCACTCTTAGAACCTATAATGGGTATATTGGGAATGGGGGCATAAGCCTCATATTCAAAACAAGAATCAAATTAAAATTTTTTATGATATCTCCAAAAGAAGATTATACCTAGAATTCCATAGCTGTACTGGCAAGAGTGTTAAAAAGAAACAGTTTACCTAACAATTTTTAATTCTTCCCAGTTTCTATAATCCTTTCTTGGCATTACTTTATTTTTTATATTCCAAGAATCTCAAAAAAAAAAATAAGGAGTGTCTCAGTTTACCTCAGATTTTCTGTAGTGCCTGGCACCATGTTACAAGGACAAGTTCAGAAAATGTTCCCTGAGTGTCAACAGACATTCTGTAGATGGAAGAAAGAAGTGCAAAACTGGGATGGCACTTGGCCATAACCCAACCAGAAACAAGACACAGGATAAATAAAAAGGTCCCTTGGTTGACTGGCTAGAGCCCACCTCTAAAGTGATGTGTCCCCCCCTCTTCTGTGTGGAGCGAAACATTAGTATTGAAAGAAGGGGGCTCCTTTTAATAATGAGGTATCCTTTGAGAACTTGGGGGTAAGGTGGCCCTTTTGCACTAGTAAAATCCAGAGTCAGTGGCTATGCCTCACCAGCTAGGAGAGAAAGCCACACAGCAAACTGTCATATACAATCCAAGGGATCTAAAAATCCCATAACTCCAATCAAGGTGGTCTCTAGAAGTAATCTCAGAGAGGCGGGACTAGATTGTAGTCTTCAAGATCTCATATACTCTTCAGAGGAAGATAGTGTAAAGCAGTTTGTGAATAGGAAAGGGAAACACAAGTTAGTCATGAGTTCACCATGTGAGTTCATTTTATGAAGAGAATCAGGGCAGCTGGTAATCCTCCGGTGACACCTCCAAACTGCCCTTATCTCCTAGGCACCTGTTTCTGCTGCCCTCTTGATTTTAGCTGATGCGGTGATCATTAGTTATGTTCACCAAATCTTTCTGGCTCTCTACCTTCTGGTACTATGTAGAATGGCATTCCCTCGTTCTTCTTTTCAGTTAGGGATGAACTTGTGACTTGTTCTGGTCAATGAATGAGAGTGATTTGAGAGCCAGTGAACAATTCACACATCCCTACTGTACTGCCTTTCCCTTCACGGATCATGAAAGCACAGATGGAGCCTCCCTCTGTCTGGGCCCTAAGTGAGAATGAGCAAAGCTCCTCAGATGACCAGTGGGGCTATATGCCATAAGCAAGAAATAAGCCTTTATTATTTTAAGTCTTTATTATTTACCCAACACTGCCACCAAACTGAAGTACCATTGGGGTTACACTGTTATTTGGCAAGGGATTACAGAAGATGCAGGATGAGAGGGGCCCATATTGTCACAGCAACCACTGGACTTATTAATCTTAAATATTATTTTTATACTTGAAAGTTGCCAAGAGAGTAAATCTTAAATGTTCTCAATACAAAAAAGAAATGGTCATTATATGACATGATTAGTTGTTAACTAATATGATGGTGGTAATCATTTTGCAATATATAAGTGCATCAAATCAATACATTGTATACCTTAAGCTTATACAGTGTTATACAATAAAACTGGGAAACATGAAGTAAGTCTCTTAAGGAAAAAAAAAATATTTTTATAAAGACAAAAGTACACAGATGGGTGCAAAGTGTCATAAATAGTTAAGATAAAATAGGAAACATCAAAGAATTTTGGAAGCATAATTTTACAAAGTGAAACAAGGAATTAGAGCAGAAAAGGGACCTTTGAGAGCACCAGCCTCAGTGAACAGAAGAGGACACTGTGGTGCAGAGAATCCCCATGACCTATCCGATGTCCCCAGCTACTGATTGCAATCCAGGTTGGCTGGTTCCAGTGCCAGTACTCGTTCTGCCACACCTTGAGTTTGTAGGATAATGATTTTCCTGGTCTTCTCAACAACACAAGGGAAGAGAGAGATTCTCATGTAAGAAGGCATCTTGTCTTCAGCGTTCACTTGGAATGATTCCTCAGGTTTGGGGCAGTGAGGTGGGTTGACTTCACTATGTAACCTTCTCTTATTCATAAAGAGAGTTATGTAATGTTCTGTTTCCCTCTTTCCCAACTCTTTACCTTACTTAGGTGGAAAGATTAAAAATGGACAACAAATGCCTCATCCCCACATGCCTCCAAAATTTTCCAGCTTTTGACCTTTATAATCTAAATAATTGTCTTCACTGTGAAGTCATTAAATATAATGACCTATTTTAAAAAATAAGCCTCAGAGAAGGTTCCCCAATGCTAAACAACCTCTTTTAATAGCTGTTTTTAGAATAAGGCAGTGTTTGAATAAATAGCCTTCTGCAGTCAGTTTAGTATCAGATCGTTCTTAAAGCATTATCTTAGGTAAGGTTTGGAATGAATCTGTGACTTGTTCTGGCCAATGGAATGAAAGTGATATGAGAGCCAGGGAACAATTCACACATCTTTCATGTTTTCTTTTAAGTTGGAACTTCGTGGGGGGGGGGGGGGGGTTTCACTCTTTTGTAATTTTAAGAATCCAAATTTTCAAGTGGAAAAAAATCAAAGATTAAAAAAGTAAAGAAAATAAAGAAAAATACTAAAAAACATAACTCACCATCACTCCCAGTCCTTCAGTGCTAATAATACATATTTAAGATAACTTGATCTAAAATTCTAGAAGCAATTTTACTAAAATTCATTGTCTCTTTAAATCAGTCTCTATATATCAGACCAAGACTTTATAAAAGTCAAGTTCTACCTCTTGTAAATGGGCCCATTTCTACTACAGATATTATTGAATAACTGACATTGTGAGTTGCTCAGAGCCATGCCCTCCAAGGTCCATGAGCATTGACCTGGGTTCTTGCTCACCTGTTGTTGTTTTTAATGCAACACCCCTCACAAAAAAGGAATTCCTTATACTTTTGCACATGTCCCTGCTCAGTTTTAGAGTACAAAGCCTTAATAAATCAATGTTTGTTTCCTTCTCAGTAAAACAAAATTATCCTGTGATGCTCTTTAGATGAAACTGGTTGTTAAGACTGCTCTATAGACTGCCACATCCAGCTTCTAATATGGTCCTTAGCACAATAAGAGCTCATTTTTTCACAGATCTAAGATGGGTGCATTCTAACAAGAAGCTGAGTAACTTTGTTCCCAGCCATGGACTGGATTTACAGCTAAAATACTGTCCCATCAGCTTGAAAAAACAAGATGCTCCCTGTGTTGTGCATGAAAGATGGCAGTTAGAATCAGTGAAATTTGAAGCAGTAGTAAGTTTTCCTTTTTCACATGGTTATTCTCTTATAGTACCCCCAAGTTTTATAAAGCACCACAGCCTAGTTCTGTTGTGTTTAGAGCATAAAAATTATCCGCCTGAGGGTTTCACTAAGGCATGTATAGGTAATAGTGGGGAGAGAGCAGAGAGAGACTGGTAGAGTGGTGAGATCCATGTGCAAGCCACACCCTGAGTGAGGCAAAGCGGGAAAGAAGCCTCCTAGACTACCCCACAGCCTAAGGGAAGGTCCTTGAGGCCATGGGGAACTCCATTAGCCCAAGTTGGCTGTTAGGGGAGTTCATGTATCTCCCAGGAATGAACTTGCCTTAGTATCTCTGCCTGTCTTGGTTACTGGCTGGGAAGTGTGACCCTGATGCAAATATGGCAATCGATTACAGCGTGCATCAGCTAAGGAAACTTGCTCAATCACAGTCTCTGTACTTGGAGGTCTGCTAGGTCCATTCTCAACACCAACTCACAAATATGACCATAACCAGCTATTCAACCACTAAGAGTGCCTACAGAACAACAACGTTCAACCCTACCATCCTTCAAATGTTTCCTTTTAGCCTTTTGCAATTGCTATTTTAATTATTGATAAACATCTTGATAGTAATAGTTGCCAACCAAGAACTGAAGAAAAGGAAAGTCAAATCTTCTAGGATCATCAGAGCAGTAGAAGGAAACGAATAAACCAGAGAGTGCCCAACTCAAGACACACCTTCTCCGATATGGTAGCTTCACCTGGTACTGGCCCAGGCTCTGCTGCTCAGAACTGTAGTACTGTAGCTCAGGGCACCTCAGCAGGTCACCAAGCTCTGTCATACAATGACTTCCAGCTCCCTTTGCAAACTTGAAAGTGCTCCATCAGAGACCCATCATTACCCACTATAGAACTTCTAAGAGAAAATTGAATCAAATAAATTATTAGCAATTTCATAATAAACTTCAACTCATCTCCCATACATTTTCCTCAAACTGCCAGAGTAATTTATATATTAAACATTTAGATAGTGTCATTCTTCCTTGTCAAGTCCCCCTGTGAGAGATTTAATACAGAAGAGACCATTATATTTCAGAAGAGTTTAAGTTAAGAAAGGCCTCAGAAGAGACTTTGAGCTAGAAGACTTCTCAAAGTCCTGCCAGCTCTGTAATTTTATGATTGCAGATGAAGAACTTGATAGCATATTGAGAAACTTTCCCCCAACTAGAAAAGGAAGTCAGTGGAAAAGCCAGCTTTGGGGAATGCCTCCTTTCTTGGGCTATCTCCTAAAATATGGAGTATCCTAAAACATGGAGTATATTTTTGAACAATACATAAGCATGTTGTCCCTTTATTCATAACTTCTTTTGGAAGAAGTGGTCATTAGAGGACAGTACATGTTTGCATTTGTAAATATTCCAAAAAACAGCATACAGAAGGACACGGGAGCCTTAAAAGATAATCACGAGATTTTTGGTCTTGGTCCTGCACAGAATTTCAAGCATGGCAAGCAGTTATGTTTCCAGTAACAACGTGGACCAAAGTTCATGTCTCCCTTGTATTTTACATAGTGTTATCGTACTTGTCAGCCCAAAGCAGAAGAAATTTTGACAGTGATTTCAGACAAAGTTACAGTTAAGTTGGCCTAAAACATTGGGGACATCAAAAATGTGTTCTTCACTCAAATCCATATGATTTTTGGTTGCTTGACATCAAAACTTCTATACACATTCTTTCCATCTTCTTCTGTTCACCCAATGTAGAATACAGAAGTGTTATTAACTTCATAGAGTGCATGTGGACACACACACACACACACACACACACACACACACACACACACACACATGCATACACAGAAAAGCTCAGCTTGTCAACAGCTTTGGCAAAGTAAAATACGAATGATAATTAGAAACATGTGTCCCCAGCAAAGAGGCACAGAAATGAAAAGGTCATCTTTTTCCAAATGACCTAATTAGAAAAGCCTGGAGTGCTGGCTACAGTATAATGGTTTTACACAGCTTTTAACTCAGACTTCCTGTTTTAAAACAGTGCAATTTACTGCTCCTGTAGCAAATATGAGTTGTCACTTAATGCCAA